AACCTCACAACTGCAAAATTTATTTTTCTCTGTGATGCTATTAAGAGCCATGTGAACAAGTGTATGGGTTGGTTGAGGTGTATTTCTGGCTAGAAATAAAAGTTTTTCGAGATTCATTTCTAATTGTGAATTTTTATTTACTGGGTTTGGGTCTTCAGATTTACTTCAGAAATTCTGTGTAACATCCACTGTCCAGGAGGTGTCATATTTGGTGATAGGGGAGTTTTGAAAGTTGAGATTTTACTATCATTTGAGATTTTTTTTCCAAGCAAAAGAAATTGTTTTGGGAAAAACACATCATCCACTTAAATATTATTAAAATCAAAAAAAGCATTAAAGAACATATAATTACCAATATTACCATACTTTAAAACAAATTTAAAAATTACCATTTTTTCTTTCAGCTCAGTTCATAAATGCCTCATTAATTTTGCTTGCACCTATTTTAAAAATTATTTTTATTTTCACTGTTTTATTCTATTAACATAACACTCTGTTTTCAAAATAGTTTTTGACTTCACAGAAAATTTACGAAGAAAATATTAAGATTTCTCATGGAAGGAGAGAACCAAATGGTACAGTTGAAGCCTTGTTTTTTTTTTTCTTAATAAGATAACAGTGGGTTAAAAAGTGATCCCCAAAAGATGTGTTCGTCTTTCTTTTATATATTTAGTACAGGGTCTACAGGGTTTCACTGCAGATTGGACTTGTAGTGATCCTCCTGTCTTCAGCCTCCCAAGCACTAGGATTACAGGTGCATGCCACCATGCCTAGTCTGTGTTCAGGTCTTAATCCATGATTCTTGAATGTGATATTATTTAGAAATAAGGACTTTGCAGATGAAATGAAAAATCTTGTGATAAAGTCGTACCACATGTAGGATGGAGCTTAAATCCAACATACTGGTATCTTCATGGAGCGAGAATGCCAGGTGACGACAGATGCACAGGGAAGAGGTGATGTGCCGCTGGAAGGAGAGAGCCAAATGTTACAGTTGAAGCCGAGGAACACAAGGATTCCTGGCAACCTATAGAACCTAGGGAGAGACCAGGTCCTCTATAGTCCTCAGGGGGAGCATGGCCTTGATCCATACCTTCTTTCCAGAATTCTGAGAGAATATTCTATTGTTTTGTGCCAGGTAATTCATAATGATATTCTTGGGAGAATTACAAACATCTACTGTAACACTAAGGGGGAAATATTGAGATGTGTTATATATGTGTACCAATTCCTTACAATGACATAATCCATAATTCCATAAATATGTTCTATAAATACGTACTAATAACAGTTTAAAAAATTAATAAGTAAACCAATACTGACATATTAATAAGTAATGTCTGTATATTGTTCAAACTTTTTAGTTTTAATGTCATCCTTTTGTTTTAGTATTCTGTCTAGGACATCATATTACACTTAGTTATCTTATCTCTTTAGGTCCCTTTATAAAAAAATTAAAAGAAAATATTTATTTATTGGATACAAGGTCTTGCTATGCAGTTCAACCTTGTAGTGATCCTCCTGTATTAGCCTCCCCAGCGCTGGGATTATGGCATGCACCACTATACCTGGACTCCATCACTGGTTCATTGTACCCTGGGGGTGGGGCTGGTGCCGCATGTGGTTCTGGGGATTGAACCTTGGTCCCTGTGCTTGCCTAAGCTTGCCTAAGCAGGTGCTTTAGTCTACTGAGCCATCAGCTGGCCCCTTTAGGTTCCTTTTGGCTGCTACAATTTTTCAGATTTTCCTTGTGTTTTTCATGATTTGACTTTTATTTTAAAGAGAATAAAATTTAAAAAAATTAAAATGATGCAGAATTTCAAAACAATATGACAAGAAATTAGCAATGGTTATTATATTGCATATTGTTATCTTGAAAGCAGTTGCTCAGATTGCAAGATGTAGGCATGCAAAATTGATCAAACAATTGAGCATTAACTGCTCTTTTCAATAACCCACTAGAAATTAATAATACAATTATCTTAGCTGGTGTGTGTGTGTGTGTGTGTGTGTGTGTGTGTGTGTGTGTGTGTGTAATATACCCCCCGTTCTTTTTTTCTCCTTTCTACCATCCTCCTTATAATTTCCTGTGGAGCAATTTCTTTCCCTTTCCCTTTGACTTTGTTTACACTTTTAGGTTCTTACTGTAGGAAAACAATACAATGTTTCCACAGTCAGGTCTGATTAATTTCACTTCTGAGTATGGTCTCTAGTTGCATCCATTTACCTTTAAAAACCTTGAGTTTATCTTTCTTTATAGTTAAGTAATACTCCATTGTATAAAAATACCACATCTTTTTATGTATTCCTCAGGTGATGGGTGTTTGATTTGATAATTTTGATAAATAGTGCTCAGGTATTTTGCAGAATGTGTCCCAGTTAGGATTTCTAATTTGATTGGGTTTTGTGAGTTTAGGAGGAAGACCACTGAGGTAAAATGCTCTTTTCCCTGATTACATCCAGGTAACATACTATCAGCAGGATTTATTAACTTCAGTGTTAGATGCTAAAGTGGTATATTGGGTTTTTTCCTTGTAAAGTTATTCTTTTTTTATACCTTTCTATATTTCTTTTTCCTTTTTATATTTTAGGAGAGGGTCTAGAGGGTGTTCAGGGTCTCACTACTAGATTGGGCTTGTAGTGATCCGCCTGCTTACAGCCTCCCAAGAACTGGGGTTACAGGTGTGTGCCACTGTGCCCAGTCTCAATTGCTGTCTCGGTGTGCCCCGGGGGTGGGGCTGGCACAGGAGGTCTAGGGATAGAACTCCTGGCCCCTGTGCCTGCTTGGAGATGCTTTAATCCACTAAGCTATTTGGCCAGCCCTTATATTTCTTTTAAAGCAAATTGCTTTACACACTTTCTGCAATTAAGGAATAAGGAATTTGTATTACACCTTCTAGAGAGTAGAGTAGCTATAAAAATTAAGATTCTTCTGTTTAGGAAGTTTATTTTCACTTATTAGTTATATCAGTGTAACTTATGGTTACTTATGTTTTGAGATATTATTCATACATCATCATCATCATTATTATTTATTATTAACACTGTTATAGTTTGAATCTGAACCACTCCAAAGTCCTTCAATTAGCTCCTATGTCTGTTTGATTATACAACATTATAAAGTTTTATTTTTTATTGTTTTGAGAACTCAATCTGTAGAAGTACAGGATGTCTTGAGCTTATTTTATGTGTTTCCTCCTGCCTTAATCCTAGAATCAACCATTTCTGTATGGAACCCCTGATTCTACTCATTGGAGATTGCACCTAGAATCTGGGCAGTTGGTGTGTTTGTTACTTGGCCATTATTGTTTTTAGGTCTTATCCATTGAAAAAACAAGAAAATAAATATGTATATACAAATTCATATAACTATACATATCTGTATTTTTATATGTAAATGTTTCTGTGTATATTAAGATAAATGAGTTCATACTGATTTTTCCAACTCTGATCCACTACCACATGGACCACTTTATATTAATTAATTAATTTGGTTTTTGAGACCGAATCTCACTGTGTAGTTTAGGCTGGTCTTGAATTCACCACATAGCACAGGCTGGCCTTCAGCTCATGATGGTCCTTCTGCTTCAGTTTTCGGGGCGCATTATAGGCATATACTACTGCCGGTGACCATGTGGGTAGCATGTTTTAGGCTCCTCTTTTGTTTATCCTTAAATTCCCACTTAAACAATGACAAACTGACTTCTATCATTCTCCATTGATCTAATTAATTTTTAATTTCAGTGTCTACACATAGAAATATCAGAATTGTTAATTTATATTCCTGCAGAGTGCTTTACTGGTTAAAGTACAATGAGTGCTTGATGTCTGGTTTCTTTTGTGTGTAGTTTTATATGCTCTGCATCTTTTTCAATGTTCCTGAGGTCAGCATCTTTCTCCCTCACTTCCATTAGTGAGGTTATTTTATACATTTCTAATACAGTTAGATTGTTTTGTTATGATTTGGATTTCACTCTGGGATTCTTACTGACCTAAACAATTTTTCTAAAATGTATATTATGTTAAAATTCACTCTGTGCTGTTAAGTTCTGCGGGCTTTGCCAAATGCACAATATCAAATTGCCACAATTCCTGCATTATACACCACTATTATAGAGCGTAGTTTCATTACCTCCAGCCTGATTAGTTTTCATTTGGAACAGCTTTAAGCTACACACACACACACACACACACACACACACGCTCACACACACACACACGCTCACACTGCAGAAATCACACTGTTGAACACCTGGGGATATATTATCAAGAATTCATAAATGTGAATATTTTGTCTTATTTTTTAAAAATAAAAAGTAGAAATTGTTAAGTACTTTGGACTTTTTCCTAATTTCATTTCTCTTCCTTTCTACCCAGCGGTAGTTGTTGTTATAATTGTGATCTTTCCAATTCATGAATTTGTATTTTACTAAATGTATTTGTTATCCTAAAGAAAAATAATACAGTTTGTGTATTGCAGCTAAACTTATGTAAATGACATTTTTGTATCTTTCTGAAAATTGCTTATTTTCAGTTTATTCTCAGTTTTGTTTTAATATCTATGTATCATAAATTTTGTGTTTTAATGACTTTATTGTGTTGGATTATATACATTTACCAAATTTTATTCACCTACTTTTGTGTAAATGATCACTTTATTTTTGGTATTTCATTTGCTTCACTAGTAGTCCATGTGTATATGAGCTTATGTAAGTATCTGCATAGAATATGTAGCTGGAAGTGAAGTTGCTGAAACACGTGGCCTGTGCAGGTTGTAGAAATGGTCCGTTTTCCTCCAGTACATTCTTACTCATCTTTTCACTCCCTTTGTGTCATTTAGTATTGCTGACTTCACCTTTTTCCTAATCTGATGGGTATGACAATCGTCTTTCCCGTGTTACCAGAAAGTATGAAACTAATGAACAATTTGGGCAGGCTCTTTTATTTATCCTAGAGGCTACTTAATGCTATCTCTAATTTATGTTTTGTTACTCTCAAAGATGTCTGCTTATCCAGGATGCACAAAAATGTTTTGGAATCCAGCTGCGCCGAAATTTGCAGTTCCAGAGTCTGTCATGAAGGAAACTGTGTATCCACAATATGAGGTAATGTATTAAATATGTTTTCTATATTATTGTTCTTATTTAATAACTGAATTTTATAATTGCTTATGACATTAAATTTTCTTGTTTCTGCACGTTATAATCTATTACATTGGTCATTAGCCCTATTTTATTGCTGGTACCATGCTGTTTCTATCACAGTAGCTTTGCAGTATAATTTCAGATCAGGGGTTCTGATACCTCTTGCCTTGTCTTTATTGCCCAGAATTGATTTAGCTATTCTAGGTCCGAACAAATTTTAGAATTGTTTCTTCCACTGTTACCACTTCAGAGAATCCAGGTGGGTGACTTTCAGATTGTTCCACCTCATGTCCTCTGGATTGGCCTTTGGTGAGCTGGAAGTCTGGTGTTGCATCTTGTTTAAGTGTCTTCTCATTTTCTATTTTCTATTCTTAGTTTAACTTCTAGGTTGATGTTTGTGAATTGCCTATGATGAGTGGCTGTATTGCTAGGATTTAGAATCCTTAGGAGATTACTACTCAGAGCTATCTTGTAGGTGTAGGTTGCTTTTGGGTTTTGAGTCTTGCAAAACTTTAGATCTTCAGTTTATGAGGAATAAATTGCTGCCTACTTGGCCCAACTTCTGGTTCTTGGCCAATGCCCTGGGTCTATGGTATTTTTAATGAGCTGTAGGCAATCTCAGTCTTAATATACCAGGAAAAACAACTGGTTGGAACAGTGTGTCGTTTTGGCTAAAGTGGTACAATCAGTAATAACAATAGAATCAAACAGTGTAGAAAATGACAAATTGAGGTAACTATTATTTTGCCCTCTTTAACCATATGAACTGCGTTTGTGGTTATATAACAAAATTTAAACAAACCAGAAAATTGTATACATAAAGAAACCCTCAATATGGCAATTTTGCCCTCAGGGAGAAAATTTAAAAGGAGTTAGGGACAAATAGAGGTACAGAAGAGGAGCAAGAGATTAGAAGCAAGGCTGGACGACAAATGGCGATTACATAAACCTTGGGAAACTGGTGAAGAAGACAGGAGGGAAAGAGAGAAGGAAGAAATAAAAACAACTGAACAGAATAAAAGCAAAAAATCCCTAGAAATCATGTTCATGCTCATATAAAGAACAAATAATGAAGACAACAACAAATAAAAATAGAGAAAGAGGCAAAGAAAATAAGAAAAACAATGTCCACTTCAAAGTCTGTCTTTGCTCTTCCTGGTAGACAAAGTGGGCAGACAAAGTCCAGATCGGAGTTGATTCGTCCCAGCAAGGCAGCTGCAGCTTTACAGTACGATGTGGGTGAGCCTGTACCTTTACTTCCGCTGAAGTTCAGCCTGGTTTGTGGCCTTTAGGCTGGAGCCAGACCCAGTAGGCTGCAGCCGTCTGTGTACTTTTTGCCTGCTTGAACTCAGAGCCAGCTCAGAGTTTCTCTGACTTCCTAGCTTGGTTGGCCCCTCTCTGAGATGGCCTCCAGTGTATTGCCTTCTTGTGTGTGGGTACCTGACCCCAACTAACTCACCAGCAAATGAAGCCCATAACCTCTATTGATCCAGTCCACTGGTGTGTTTCTCCATGGTGGGCTCTGGAGTCTCCAGCCATCACTAAAACTGTACAGGCTCAAGCTGCCCTCTCACATGGTGAGTCTGTGCTTGGAGAAAGTGCCACCTGCTACCTCCTTCTTCTTTGAAGTTTCCATTCTCCCACTTCCCAATGGCTTCAGGTTTCATCAGATCCTTCCTGTGTCCTAGGGACCCACTTCCCTTCTTCTTCTCTTAGTCACATTGCTATATTCCAGTGTCTGGATTCCGTGACTCAGAGGGGCTTTTTTTCTGATGCTTACCTCTCAACTGCATTCTGGAAAGTCCCTTTCTAGTATTTTGTACTTTCAGTTTAAAAATATTTTGTCTTTTGTTAAGCTACATTATGTAATTGTTCCATTTCTTATGCCAAGGCCTATTAAGTACTTACGAAATTGTATAAGTAGCGTGTTTTATACTAAAAGTTCAAATAATAAAGATGTATATGGCATAAAAAACATTTTCTGCCTTTAGTAGTTCTCTCTCATTCTTTTCTTCCTGAAATAAACCATTTCTAAATGCATTCTGTGTACACTTTCAGACATTTTTCCTGTCATTTAGATTAATATTTTTACCTATATGGAATGATAATTTATATTATACTGCCTTTTATTTTGTAAAATATATTTGAACATGTATCTTTTACACATATTTTTCTGATTGGAATTCCTCTTCCAACTACATGTAGATTTAAAAATCTTGAAGGATCGGTATGGAAATTTGCATTTCCCTATTGTGATTATGTACCAACTAATCTTTTCATTTATTTCAGAAAAAGTGTATGCAGATGCCATGAGCTAAAAAGAGATTTATGACACAAAATATTTTAAAAGATCGCTTTAATGCAAATGGTTGGTAAATATTAATTTGCTTAAGTAGGTGTAGCATCTGTGGGAATATGATGCTCACTTCTCTTTTGGGAGTCTCCTAAGAGGAGGATACTTGACTGCCAGCAATTACAACTACCCTGGTATTCACTTCAAGGTCATGCTTCCTTTGATCTGCTCCCAGCCTGTGACTCAACACAAGCTGGATAATAGAGCTCATCCATTTCGGCTTGATGTGGGATTGATTGCACTCAAGACCTTCTATTTGCCTGATTTTTTTCTCTGAACTGCTCCATAGTGTGAAATTTTTCCCACCCAGTTCTTTCTCTTTTATCCCTTTTCACATTTGTTAGAACTGCACTGTGGCTGGCAGTTTTCTCCTGCATATTCTTCTCTTTACGCTTTAATGGTGTCATCTGCTTCTATTTGAGCTGACAGTAGGGAGTGTGTTAGATGTCTACGGTGCTTTCTGAACTCTACGTTTGCTTATAACAGACATGTATGAATTTTTCTATCCCAGTTTATAGAATTGTGTGAATACAGGGAATTAAGAGTAGGAAATATTTTCTTTAAAGAGGTAGAAATTGTAGCAGAGGAGGATTAGTGAGAACTGGTGATCCTGGAATAACCCACTAGAAATGAGTTCCAAAAGAAAATAAACGCTGGAGATTGTCCATTCTTCCTGTTAAGAAGAAGAAGGATCCAACAATACTTTCCAGCTTGAGATAACAGGTCCATAATTCTACTCATAGGAATGAAATGATACTTCTTTAAAGACTTATGTGTCTTTTGAATGAAAGTGCTAGTTATACATTCTAAAATTTCTTTGCTCCAAGTTTAAAATAAATTTCACTTACTATATTTTATGATTACTAGAATTGTTTTATCCTTCCAGTTACAATTTCTTTATGACTTTGTATATTTGTATATTCTTTATGATTTTGACTATGACTTCTGTTTTCTGCTTTAACTTCTCTTAAGTTTATTTCTAAAGAAACAGCATGGCTTAAGTGGTCATGAATCTATCATGCTGTCGTATTTACATATTTATTTCTGGTTGTATCACAATCACTAATTATAAAATAAATTTAATAATCATTATTAGTACTGCAAGTTATTCTTACATCAATACATATATCTATATTAAAACTTATTGACCTGATAAGATTAGAAGTGAAGGATATTAAGAACATTTTCATTCCAATTTATAATTAAAATACTTACTTGTACTTAAAAATGAATAATCACTTGATGCTAATAAATCCAGATAATATGTCTCATTCATAATCCTAATGTACATATTCTAAGTAAACTCATTGCTGACTTTTAAAATAGTTTTTTTCATAATTTTATTGATAAATAGCAATGAGACATTTTCAAATCAAATTGTTAGGACAGTTTCAATAATTGACACATTGCATACATTCCTCCCAGTGGTTAATTGCTGTAAAAGATGCGGACATGATATCCTATCTACAAACACCATTAGAACAAATCACTCTATTCTTTAAGAGAATGTAACTATATATTTATCCTAACTACTTTGAATACACAGATACAAAATGGACATTCATCTATATACCCCTTTTTGGTTAAGTTCCATTATTTGAATATTATTGGTGTGTTAACTCAGCAAAATAATCTAAAAGAGTTCGGTAGTCCATGATAGTATTGGGTCTTCTACATGACTGGCACTGTCAGAAATTGTTGACCTGAGTCCCCTATAGTTCAACATAGCAACATGGCTTTACTTCTCATATTTTGTTTTTATACTTTTCTGCTGAGTGGTTAAGAACAAGGTAAAGCAGGACCTATGTAACAAGAGTTGTAGATTTTGGGTCTGATAAGGTCAGTGAAATGCCCTCAGGATTTATCCTGAGGTCCTGTACCTCAGAATGTTTCTCAGTGTCAGCTATGTGGATGAGTCATGGCCATTGGTTGGCCAAAGTGCTCTCAGTGAAAGCCTGAGAGAATGTTTTTTCTCCATGTGACTCTCCTTAGGCACACTCTATAGCATCGACCACTTTCCTCTTTGGCCCGTTAAACTCCTTGATCAGAAAATTTGGGACAGTGCCGAGTTACATAATGTTACAGTATATGTTCTCATATGTCCTGAATCTTAATTGACCTTGGAAGGCTACGGCCAAAATGTTGGCTTTCCTTGCAGCCCTCTTTTTCATCTAATTTTGGTCTGCAAACTTAGGTTGTTAATGATCCAGAAGACAAGCTTATTGTTATTACCAACAACCTAGGCTGTTAAGCTTGACCTCACTATCTGTCTGCATATCAAACATCTTAGGCATAATATGGAACAGGTATTATTCATGAAGTATTAATATGTTGAACTTTAAGTCCCAACAGAATATGATAAAAAAACATTTAAAAATTAGAATATATTTAAAAAATAGGCATAAAGAATTATATACTTCTTATGTTTACACATAAGTCCAAAAATCTCACCATATACAACCTTGAAGCAGGACAGTCCCACAATATTCCTTTTCCTGTCTTTTGCTTTCATTCACCACCCTCTTCTTTTTGAACAACCATGTACCCGAGTGACTTCATAGCAGCAACTGGCATGTCATGACAAGCAGCCCATATTCAGAAGACCAGA